CACGCACTGTCGATTCTCCAGGTTCACACCGGGCGACACCAGGACGTGGTCACTAACCGTTGCCAACTGTGGGTAGGGTGCGACGTGGGTCATACAGAACGACATCTCACAATTGGGGCAAGTCTTCACTGCGGGCTTCCTGCAATGATCGCAGCAAACAGTAGAAGCAGCAGCATCGGCAGCCATGGGCTGCTTGATGAGGTTGGTGAGCGTCACGCTCTTGTTCAGCTTGGGCCTCCGAGGGAAAGTCACCCGGCACTGCGGGCAGGAGAAGGACTCCGCTGGATCCCAGTTGTCCTCCAGGCACTTGAGGCAGAACGAGTGGCCGCAGCTGAGCGTGCAGGGGCAGCAGAAGTTGTCCAGGCAGATGGGGCAGGTCAACTCTCCTGGAGCCTCGCTACCACTGGGAGCCACACTCGCCATGGCCCTGTGGCTCCACTCAAAGACGGGCGCTGGATGTTGCTCAGGCAATCTCTGGCTGTAGCTCAGGCAGTCGCTGGCTGCGTCTGAGACGCTAAACGTGGAACAAGCCACGTAAATAGGTGACAAGGAAGTAGGAAATCTTTCAGTTTGATTTGCATATCAATAGATCTGCACTGGAATGTGTTGACGTGTAAGAGAGTACAGACGTCTCCACTCCAGGGGTGGCTTAAAAAAGAAGACTCGGATCACCTCGTCTCAAATACTCATCCTCATTCACCTCATTACAACTCAACTCACCTCTACGCACCTAAACTCACCTCACCTCAACTCACCTCAACTCGTCTCAGCTGAACTGTCAGGGGAACTCTGCTAGTAAACTCGTTGCTCCATGCCGCTCTACTCCACGACATTGTTGTTGCTATCTTCGTCTTCTGGCTTCACTTTATTTATTTTAAGATTAACACTTTAAACTACTTCATGAAAATAATTTGTTCCTGTCTTAAAGTCGCGTTCCAGTAGTCGAGCTGTGAGACACCGGTGCGAGTTGCCGTATTTAACTCGGTCACGTGGCTGGGGCTCAGGGTCCAGCTGGTGGAGCCACAAACCACCGGGCGAGGCCCTTTGCTGAACCCGGCACCGTGACCCGCTCATGTGGGCGGGGGGCAGGCGCCCCAGGGGTAGTCCGGCCGTAACATATCTACAATCTAAGTACGACGTTTCGCCAGTAATTACAACTAGCTTGCGTCAGGCGACAGCCAGATTTGTAGAGAAGTCTAACTGTTTCGCTCCTTATTTAGAGGCGTAGATGTGGTGACCACACTTCTGCGCTCTTGCACAACGTGGGGGGGGGGGGGGGATTAATGAGTCAGCGTAAGCTCGTGTGTCACACTGTTGGATGGTTTCAGGAGAATTGCCGCATCTGGGTCGGCCGAATGCAACTGCTTCCGGTACCGCAAGGGAACCGACATCTGTATGCCCGGCGGGATCTCTACCGACTCCCTCACCAATGCCTGAATGGCGACATTGCACCCGCCTCCCCTCCAAAGGGATCCATAAAAAATATCCGCTGCCCTGACGGCATCCCTTACACTTCTACTCCGTCAATTTCTGAGGGCATTCTATTCGAAAAGTCGTTGTCCCACAAGCATGGGATAGCCCGCGTTTTATAAATCACAACGGGCCCTTAAAATAACCCAATTCTTCATTTCATTTATCATGCAGTATACAATTTTATAATGGCTGTAAAGCGCTTTCGTAAAGGTGCTATATAAATGTCATTAAGATAAGAACCGTGATTGGAACAGCCAAACATCTCCCAACTATCTATTTTGATTGAGAGGCCCTTGAATATGGGGAGTATTTCCCTCTTGACACCTCCTTATCTTATGCATCCTGCTGTATGTGAGCGCATGCCAGCGTTATTGTTTCGTGCTTTCATAAATCGTGAGTTAAGTTTGTCTGCCTTGAGCAGGGGATGTACTGTAAGGTAGAAGTGACAGATGTCTCGAGGTACACCACAATCAGCTGTCGCTTAAATTAACCACATATAAGCATTTCCTGCTTCTACCGTGGTATTGTATCAAGGTAACGTGTTACTGATCCTACATGTTTCAATGGTAAGGACGATGCTGATGATTATGGACACGGATTGAATGATACAATTTGGAAAATGACAAAACTGATTGTCTCACATTTTCTTAATCAAAATTAGAGATGAGTTGCGCAACCAAATCACTAGAAATTGTGCGTTTTAGTAACCTGCAGCTACTTTGCCAAAATCTGTGCGAGTAGTTGCAAAACATAAGACAAGTCTCAGTGACTAAAATGTCTGCCCCCTGTTCTGGTTAACACGACTCCTCACCTGCATTTGGATTGTAGCTGTTTATCACAATTCAGAACTGTGCAGCGCGTGATGATGCAATACGTTGCTATGATTCGCTAAGGAGATGCTTGAAGTAGTCTCGTTACAATGCGAGCAACATGTTGCAGAGACGTCCATGTAGAAGCGAATTCAGTTACATACACCCGAGTTGCCAAGTTACACGCAACTGATAGATCGGGTATCGACGCAACTTAACTTACATCAAGTATTTTTTTTTCCACAGAGCACAATTCGTACCGATTTGGACAGTTGGCTATGTTCGGTGCGAAACAAGTTGAACACACGTTCGTGAATTATTGATCCTGTATCCTAACCACAATGCAATGCGCTGTCCGTGTACAGCCCTTTTGTTAATCCATTTCGGGATGAAGACCGCCACACGCTGTGCGGGTTGTGGGGATTATTTGACTACGTTTCGGGACATATAAATAGAACGGTCGTGTGGTACGGGTAATCATTTGAGGAATTACCTCTCCGCTTAAGGATTGGAACGGTAACACAAAGTTGGGACATAATGAGGATTTTTATTGAAATGTTTATGGTACACCGTCACGTGTCTGACTAACTAGGGACTGAATCATTGGTGGATATGTGAAAAGTCGGATGTTATGTTAACTTTTTAGTAACAGCCAGTTGCATTTTTTACGCAAAAATAGGTTACTCGGCATCAATAAAGTGCAATTTTTTAAAAGTGGGGAAATGCTATATTATACTTCGGAGATAATAGGCTGTTTGCTAGACTAAGAATACGGGACTGCATGCAATAAGGTAACATTTATGAACACGTTTAGAATGTGACCGTTGCACCCTGCACAGCTACTGCTTCACTGTATGTGGGCAGTTTTGTTAGGGTGGACGTTGTAAGAATGAGTATAGACCAATCGTTATTCTTTAAACAGTTACTAAAACATTTGAAAAAAAAACTTTAATCACGAATAGACGTCGACCTAAAACTCACAATCTCCCGCACAGTAAACAGTCTGGTTTCCATGAGGATTACTGCGCCACCACAGCTATTATGGATGTATTTAAATGTTTTTCAGTAACCTGCATGAAGGCCACTACTGCTGTGGACTATTCCTTTCCTCTTTTAAAGCCTTTTGAAACTCTTGGCCATGATATTCTACTCACAAGACGCAGTCAACTAGAATTGTCAGACAGTACGATAAAACGGTTTCAGAGATACATCTTAGACAATTATCAAAAAGGTCCATCGTGATAACATCTCGTCCACAAATTTTCAAATAACAAATGGCGTTCCACAAGGTGCGGTGGCTACTGTGATGCTGCATATAAATCAGCTACTAATCTAACACTTAACATACTAAACCCCTTCTTGGTTCTTTCGGTAAAGTCACATAGAAGGGAAATAATAAAATAATAAAAATAAAACATTATACAATTCTCACGACGTTTTGGCCACAACGCGTCTTCAGACGCTGTCTTTCTGACAGACCTGTTATTCACCTGAGGACGGCTGCTTGCGTTGTGGCTGAAACGTCGTGAGAATTGTATTTTATTATGTTTTATTTTTATTATTTTATTATTTCCCTTCTATGTGACTTTACCGAAAGAACCAAGAAGATGAATCCCTGCAGTCACGAAAGCTGTCAATCGAAAAATACTAAATCCCATTTATCATTCTGATCTTCGATTTGTATTGGATGTACGATACAGCACCCACTAATGTGACCTCGACTTCAAGTCCAATCTCACATAACTTGATGCAAAACGAAATCTACATTTGTCCCTGTTCATGCATAAAACCATTATTGGCAAATCTGTGCTTTAATTAGCTAAATCATAAACCCCACAGTTAAACCAAAGAAACCTAAGACGTACATATAATTGCCTGTGAACTATCCCAATAATGAGAATTTGAATGGGTAACAAAGCCTTAGCCATTGCAGCACCAACGTTTTGGAACAACCTTGTTTCCTCCCTTAACATCATAAATCTTCCTTCAATAAATGTCCGAAGCAGAAGATTCATGCTGTACACAGCCTCATTTGTAAATGTGATTGGAACGTTGATCCATACCCATGTATTGATAGTTCAATATTCATGTGCAGTTGTGTCCAGGGACTGCCGTGTTGTCTTGGTGTGATCTGGGACTGTTGTTGTGTTACTGCCTTGCCCACGTTTGCATTTAGTGTTGAAAAAATCGGTAATAATAAAAAAAAATTGCAATTTGTAGTTATATACTTTTTAATTAGTCATTATCAAGTTTCAGTGATTTGCACATCTTTCCTATATTTTACCCTCTGATCGGTTGTTTGTACTTTTTGTTATTGTAACTTTCTGGACATCTCGAGAAAGAGCTTCATAACTCATTAAATGAAGATGCTGATTCAGATTATATGTACAGTGAGGGAAAAAAGTATTTGATCCCCTGCTGATTTTGTACGTTTGCCCACTGACAAAGAAATTATCAGTCTTTTATTTTAATGGTAGGTTTATTTGAACAGTGAGAGATAGAATAACAACAACATCCAGAAAAACGCATGTAAAAAATGTTATAAATTGATTTGCATTTCAATGATTGAAATAAGAATTTGACCCCCTCTCAATCAGAAAGTGTTCTGGCTCCCAGGTGTTCTTGCCCTCCGCTCCCGATGTAAACATGATGGCGGCAGTGCAGACACTCTGACACCAGTTGTAGAGACGTTCCCACGGACGCACTCGGAGACAGAGGTAAGTTAAGGGCTTTCGCCGAGGGTTTATTAAAGATTAACAATAACACACAAGGGTACACAACTCCCAGGGGCTAAGGATCCTACTCGGAGTCCAGATCCCTGCCGGCTAGCTCCTGTCTCTCTCGTGTCGGATCGTGGACTCTGCCGACTCCACCGAACGGAGAGAGAAGCACCTCTACGGCTACCACCGGCTTCTCCCCAGACTCACTATTCAATCCCTCTCTACCCCTGGTTCCCTCTTCACCCTTCTTACTCTATCCGTTCCCAGAGTGACCCCGCTTACGTCACGGGGTCTCCCTTAAGTACCCTAGGAGACGTGATGTCATCGCACTGAACGGCACACCTGACGTCACCTCCCCATTTTACTCCTCTACACAGGTAACGAGCTGAGATTAGGAGCACACTCTTAAAACGAGTGCTCTTAATCTCAGCGTGTTACCTGCATAAAAGACACCTGTTCACAGAAGCAATCAATCAATCAGATTCCAAACTCTCCACCATGGCCAAGACCAAAGAGCTCTCCAAGGATGTCAGGGACAAGATTGTAGACCTACACAAGGCTGGAATGGGCCACAAGACCATCGCCAAGCAGCTTGGTGAGAAGGTGACAACAGTTGGTGCGATTATTCGCAAATGGAAGAAACACAAAATAACTGTCAATCTCCCACGGCCTGGGGCTCCATGCAAGATCTCACCTCGTGGAGTTGCAATGATCATGAGAACGGTGAGGAATCAGCCCAGAACTACACGGGAGGATCTTGTCAATGATCTCAAGGCAGCTGGGACCATAGTCACCAAGAAAACAGTTGGTAACACACTACGCCGTGAAGGACTGCAATCCTGCAGCACCCGCAAGGTCCCCCCTGCTCAAGAAAGCACAAATACATGCCCGTCTGAAGTTTGCCAATGAACATCTGAATGATTCAGAGGACAACTGGGTGAAAGTGTTGTAGTCAGATGAGACCAAAATGGAGCTCTTTGGCATCAACTCAACTCGCCGTGTTTGGAGGAGGAATGCTTCCTATGACCCCAAGAACACCATCTTCACCGTCAAACATGGAGGTGGAAACATTATGCTTTGGGGGTGTTTTTCTGCTAAGGGGACAGGACAACTTTACCGCATCAAAGGGACGATGGATGTGGCCATGTACCATCAAATCTTGGGTGAGACCGTCCTTCCCTCAGCCAGGGCATTGAAAATGGGTCGTGGATGGGTTTTCTAGCATGACAATGACCCAAAACACACGGCCAAGGCAACAAAGGAGTGGCTCAAGAAGAACCACATTAAGGTCCTGGAGTGGCCTAGCCAGTCTCCAGACCTTAATCCCATAGAAAATATGTGGAGGGAGCTGAAGGTTTGAGTTGCCAAACGTCAGCCTCAAAACCTTAATGACTTGGAGAAGATCTGCAAAGAGGAGTGGGACAAAATCCCTCCTGAGATGTGTGCAAACCTGGTGACCAACTACAAGAAACGTCTGACCTCTGTGATTTCCAACAAGGGTTTTGCCACCAAGCACTAAGTCATGTTTTGCAGAGGGGTCAAATACTTATTCCCTCATTAAAATGCAAATCAATGTATAGCCTTTTTTATATGCGTTTTTCTGGATTTTGATGTTGTTATTCTGTCTCTTACTGTTCAAATAAACCTACCATTAAAATTATAGACTGATCATTTCTTTGTCAGTAGGCAAACATACAAAATCAGCAGGGGATCAAATACTGTCTTCCCTCACTGTATGTATGTTGAACTTATTTCGCACCGTAGATATCAACCGTGCTATTCGGAGGTGCGGGGTGAGGACAACAACCTATACACAACAATCAGTTCTAAAGAAATTAGTTTTCAATCTCCGTCAGATCCAGATGCCGCTATATCTGTTATTTCAGAATGCTTGTCTGAAGTCGCTGTTTGAACAAAGCAAATCTGACTGCAGCTAAACCTGGGCAAGACAGAGTACATGATAGTTGGCTCAGAGCAGCGTCTGCGAGCGTGGCAAGGCCACATCGATCCTCCACTGATTAGCAGAGCTCTCCCTCTCCGTGTGTCCAAAGTACGTTGTTGTTTTATTTTGGTAATTATCTTCGCTTCGTTATTGTTCCCTGTGCTCACGTTGTCGTTTTTATTATTTTGGAGATCCCCCAGCACCAGGTCACTCTTGCAAATGAGACTCCTGTCCCGGTCTCTCGAGTTCTACACCCGGTTACAGACGATACACTTGAACTCACTCACTCAATCATTTACCCACTCACCTACCCTCTAGCTCACTAACTTAACCACTGATGCACTCAGCCATTCACTCACACACCATCTCACTCACCCATGCACTCACTCGCCCACCATCTCACCCAATCAACCATGCACTCACTCAATCATTCAATCACCCACCATCTCTGTCACTTATCTCCTTACTCATCTACTCACTCACCTAAGCACTCACTCCCCATGCCACTCACTCTTACAAATGAGTCTTCTATACTGTTGTCTTGAGTTCTCGCCCCGGTTAAACACAATGAACAAAAATAACAGCCCGAACTACAAAGACGTTACCATGGTGATGGTGGTAGTGTTGGTAATGGTGGTGATGATGATGGTGGTGTTGTTGATCATGGTAGTAATGATGGTAGTGATAATGATGGTGGTGATGGTTGTGATGATAGTAAGAGTGGTGATGGTGATAATCGTGGTGGTTATGTAGGCGGTAATGATGATGCTGCTGCTGCTGATGATGATGGTGATCATGGTGGTGGTGGTGATGATGACAGTGGTGGTGGTAATGATGGTGATGAGGGAGATGGTGGTAATGGTCGTGATGAGGGTAATGGTGGGAATGATGGTGATGGTGGTTTTCACGGTGAGGATAGTGATGATGATGGTGGTGATGATGGTCGTGATGGTGGATGTGATAATGGTGATGATTATGGCAGTTTTTGTGGTGTTTGATGTTCATTATGGTGATGATTGTGATGGTAAGCATGGTGATGTGGGTGCTGATAGTGATGATGATAATGATGGTGGTGATCATGGTGGTGATAATGATGATGGTAGTGATGATAGTAGTGGTGTTAATCGTGGAATTGATGGTGATGAGCTTGATATTGGTGGTGATGATGCTGATGGTAGTTTTGACGGTGGTGATTATGTTGATGGTGGTGATGATGGTCATAATGATGATGATGATAGTGGTGATGTTAAGTAATGATTATGATGATGATGTGGTGATAGTGATAATAGTAATAATGGTGGTGATTGTGGTTGATAGTGATGCTGATGATGATGGTGGTGATGATGTTGGTGGTGCTGTTGGTAATCATGATGATGGCGATGATGGTGGTAGTGATGATTATGGTGTTTATGATGATGGTGGTGATAATGACAGTGGTGATGACGATGATGGTGTGATGATGGTGGTGATGGTGGTGATGGTAGTGATGATGAGGAGATGATGGTGATGATTAAAGTGATGATGATGGGGTGATGATGATGGTGCTGATGGTGAATCGTAGGGATGAGGAGGCGTGGTGACGCGAGTGCACACTGCAGGCGAAGGAGCGACCACACGAACCTCCGATTTGTGCTGCACCGGCGACATCGCTCACGCACGCCAACCTGAACCTCACCCTCTCCCCTCACCCTACCCCTCCATGCTCACCTCACCTCACCCTTTCCTCAATTTTCACCTCACCCTCCCATCACCTCACCCTCTCTCTACCCCCTCCTTCACATCCTCTCCTCACCCACTCCTCACCCTCTCCGTCACCTTACCCTCCATTCTGCCCTCACCATCACCGTACCTCACCCTCTGTTCCACCTTCCCCTCACCCTCACTTCACCCTCTCCTCACCATCCACCCTCTCCTCCGTTTATTGGGTTTCTGTCTCGGTTTCTTAAGTTTCTATCTCTCCTCATCCTCAGGATGCACGACTCAGATCCACGATCTTCAATGGTTCTTTCAAACACCCCATCCACATCACAGGGTAGAGAGGCTGCAAGAATCTCCGCCGAACCTCGTGGATCACCTCCATGGAGTCGGCGCGGTAAAACGCCAGGAGTTCACCCTCCAAGTGCAGGTGAAGGCCGATTCTGCGGGGGGAGGGGGCCCCCTTCACCGACAGTGCAGTCTTCACTCCACCATGAACCACTGATAAGTTGTTGTTACATTTCTCTAAACACCAGGACGCGTCGCTCCCTCCCAGCTGCTGTGCCTCACCACTCCCTTTCCGCGGGATCGTCCCGTACGCGACTCCAACCCGCCACCACCTCGTGTCCCCCACGTCCACCTCCCAGTAGTGGAGGCCCGACGAGAAGCTCTCACAGCACAGGGCTTGTGCACAGCAATCAAACCGGTGTGGGTGATCGGGGCGACCCTGGGAGTCACCGGTCCACGTCATCGTCCTGAGATCCGAGGAGATCTGGAGTTGGTTATTAGCCGAGTTTGTGTCCAGAGTCGGTGAGCGTCGGTCTGTGACAACAGCGATGACAACATCACTACAGAACAGCATCATCACCATCATCCACCATCACCACCATCAACATCACCAACCATCATTTTCACCATCAACAAAAACATCACAAACATCACCAGCCATCCTCGCCATGAATATCAATGAAAACAACATAAACATCACCATTACCACCATCATCAACACTATGAACATCAACATCATTATCGCATTGAGCAACAGTACCACCATCATTATCACCACCACTAGCACCATCATTACCATCACCACGACCATCACCACTATCCCCATCACCATCTTGATCACTATCACCAATATCACCAACATGACCAGCATCATGACCATCACAAAGACCATCAAAATCATCATCACCATCACTACCATGATCACCATAACCAATACCATCAGCAAAACCATCACAACCATCACCACCTATATTATCACCAATGTCACCTTCTTTATAATCACCACGACCATCACTCCCATCACCATTCCCATAACTCACATTATCACTAACAGCATCATTACCACCACCCTCATCATGACGACTATCACCATCATTATGACCATTATCAGCATCAGGAACTCATTTGAGGTTGAAACTGCCTAGTAGAGACCCAGGACTTGATAAGATATCACCTGCCACTGATGTTAGCCATGGCGGGTAATCAAACCCAGGTAACTGGGTTCGTAGTGCAGTGTGCTAACCACTAAACCACCGCTCCCCCCCACACACACATGCATATACATTCACAGGCACAAACTGCATCTCAACATCACAATTACCCCTGACTCGTAATGCTGATTATTTACCCAAGAACACCACACTTAGTCTCATGGCTGTGTTCAGTAGGGTCCTGGAATGGGCTGTGAACAAAAACAAAGATCCTCTGTGTAGCCTCAACAGACCATTGGGGCAAGTGCTGCTAGCAAGTGTCTATGAAGACCGGCAAGGCACACGAGGAGGTGGGTGGCCAGAACCACACCCGACCACCTTTGTCTCCCTAGTGGTGATGTTTACACAAAACTAGGTAATCATTTGAGGCTGAATCGACCTTGTGCATACACACACGGTGATAATTTATTGTGAAGATGGCCCCATCACCCATGTTTCACACTGAAGAACTCACACAGGAGTTTGGCCACAGTTCCCTCGGTGCCTTTAAGCGAGGCAATGTCCTCTTGGTTGGGAGCTGAGGGTGGAGCTTCTCTAGGCCGCCCTATCCTGTGAAAGCAGATCAGACACGGCCATCACTCACAGGATCATCACAGTTCCATCACATAGACACACATCACACAAAGCATCACGACTCACATCACAATCATTCACAGCATCACCACGTACAGAATTAATTCTAGATTTTAAGCTTTCGTGACTGCAAGGATTCATACTCTTAGGTTTTGTCGGTAAAGTCACGTAGGTAAAAATAATAAAATAATAAATGAAAATAAATCAATTAAATCACGACGTTTCGGAGGCAACACAAGCTTCCGTCTTCAGGTGGATCCGTCACAGCACGATTGCTGTATCAAGTAAAGAAAATTCCAAGAGACCCGACCTTGTATATATACTGGTTGAGGGGGGAGGAGCCAGGGTGGGCAGCGGGAGAGGCTGCGGCGACTGCTGCTGGGACTGTGCCTTTGTCATGTAGATGGCAGAAGCAGAAAAGCATTTCAGGACAAAGCAACCCCCTGCTATGTTGCTGGGTGGGTAAAACTTAAAGTAGGAAACCAGCGTGTGAAAAAATAAGGTAAAACATGATAAAAAAACTAAACTGGCTGTCTATCAGTAAACTGTACGTTAACTAAAGAATAGTGCCTGTTAAATAAGATGGTTCAAATGTGTAATTAAATCTTTTTTTGTATGGGGAATGACATCTTTCCAATGATTACTCAGTTTGTACCCATCATCACGGTGTTTGTATATCTGGATGGCTTCGTGTACAAACCTTTGATGGTAGCCAGGAGGTTTGCAGAGCACCTTGGTCTCGGAAAAGACAATCTCATGAGAGCCCACAGCGTTGTAGCAATGATTGGCAATGGCGGATGACTCAATTTTGCCGTGTTTCAGATCTGACTTGTGCTCGCGGACACGATCAGAGATATGACGTTTCGTTTCTCCAATGTAACAATCACCACAGCTGCAACTCAGTTTGTAGACTCCAGGGTATTGTAATTCAGGAATGACATCCTTCACAGATGGAATTAGATCACGGATTTTATGTACTGTACTGAATCGGACTTGGATCTTATGTTTGTTTAGAATTTTAGAGATCTCTTTGGTCACGCCTGCTATGTATGGCAACGTGATAGTTTTGATCGGAGTTTCAAGTGGCTGTTTCTGTATGGTGGGAGAAACAGCCTGGCGTATGGTGCGGTCAGAGTCTCCGTTCATCCTGAGGGCCCGATGTACATGTCTTAATTCACTGGCCAGGTGGTGTTGGTCAGAAATGCCATGAGCTCTGTGGTATAGTGTTTTGATGAGAGAATTATTTTGAGACGGGTGGTGGTAGGAATCAGGTTCCAAGTAGGAATCTGTGTGGGTGACTTTCCTGTAGACAGAATGTCCCAAGGATCCGTCAGGTCTCCTCTAAAACAGAATATCTAAGAATGATAGTTTGCCATCTTTCTCCACTTCCATGGTAAATCTAATGGATGGGTGTCTGGAATTGATGTGGTCCAAAAAGTGGTTCAATGCTGGGAGGCCATGTGGCCAAATGACGAAAGTACCATCCACATCAGTGGCGGCTCGTCAATAGAGGGCGCAGGGGCGCCGCCCCAATCAATATTCAAGAAATATACATATACAAAATTTATATAAAAATACATAAATAAAATATTTTTTTCATACGATGTGCCGGCTGGTAGTAAGAAAAGCATCAGCATTTAATAAAAACTGGCTTTAATCGGTCAAATATTTTCTATGTTTTTCAATGTGTTTCATGCGGGGCGCCGGACAAATGGATGTCTATGTGAGACTTTAAATTTTAGGACAGCATGTGACCTGAAGCTGGTCTCTAATTGGTTTCTTAAAGATTCTCCTCGGGGCGCAAGTCGTTGCGTCCCTGGCCAATCAGAATTGGATACATGTTATTTTATCCAATCTGATTGGTTCTCGTCACCTGTCATTCAAATTTACGCTCTGGGCCACTACTGCGAGTGCGCAGGCGACACCACTTTGACACTTGCTAGGCTGATCAAATTTTTTGTGTAAACAATGGCAGCAGTTCATCCAAATTCTGTAATTTATTTACAAAAAAACCCTTTCACAAGGCTTTCGCTGGAAGAAATAAAAAATATAAAGGATCTCGGACCGGACCAACCCGATTTACAAATCCAGCAGCAGGCCAGTGACAGAGGACGAAGCTACACACGAAGCTTCACCCGCGCTTGTTATGAGAAACGGAGGTGGCTGGCTGGATGTGATGTTAGCAATTCTCTTTTTTGTTTTCCCTGTCTTTTATTTCAAAGTGTCGGCACTGAAGTTTTGTGGACAACGACGGGGGTAAGAGACCTCAAACATCTCTCTGACAAATGCAAACGTCATGAAAGTAGCCGCAGCCATATTGATAATAGCATGAAACTAACGTTTTTATGTTCAAGTAGGAAACATGCTTTTTGGTACTTTGGTCTGAAATGTATATAAAAGAGAAACATTTATGTTCAAGTAGGAAACATGCTTTTTGGTACTTCTTTTGGTCTGAAATGTAAATAAAGATCATCAAAATTTATATTCAAGTAGTCAAAATGGTTTTTGGTACTGCTTTATATTTATTTGCCCCCCTCAATAAAATAAAAAAAATGCGCCCCCCCAAAAATAAATATCACCAGCCGCCACTGATCCACATACCTCTTCCACAGGGAAGGACGCAAGGTGGACGTCTGGATGGCGTCTGATTCAAACTTTTCCATGAACACATTGGCTATTACTGGTGACAAGGGGGAGCCCATAGGGGTACCCTCATTCTGTTTGTAGAAGGAGCCATTCCAGGTAAAATAAGTGTTGGTGAGGCAATGCCTAACCAACGCAGGTACATCTGACGTTTGGTCAACTTCCCTAATCGAACCAACCAAACGTCCCTCCTTAAAACCCTCGGCTGCTATACCTCCCAGATTATATGGTCTTCCCAAGATCCATAAATAAGGCACCCCACTACGTCCCATAGTGCCCACGATCAACTATCCTACCTACAAACTAGACCGTTTTCTATCAGATACTCTACTTCCCTTCACTGGCAAGACCGCTTCAGCAGTACTTAACTCAACCCAATTGTTCTCTATGGTCAAGAACATGGTACTGTCTCCTGACGATATCCTCGTCAGTTATAATGTTGTATCTCTGTTTACCAAAGTTCCAGTGCCTGACACCTTAACAATTATTGAAGACTTGGTCAACATGGATTGAATTTGGATGTACCTGCGTTGGTTAGGCATTGCCTCACCAACACTTATTTTACCTGGAATGGCTCCTTCTACAAACAGAATGAGGGTACCCCTATGGGCTCCCCCTTGTCACCAGTAATAGCCAATGTGTTCATGGAAAAGTTTGAATCAGACGCCATCCAGACGTCCACCTTGCGTCCTTCCCTGTGGAAGAGGTATGTGGATGAAACTTTCGTCATTTGGCCACATGGCCTCCCAGCATTGAACCACTTTTTGGACCACATCAATTCCAGACACCCATCCATTAGATTTTACCATGGAAGTGGAGAAAGATGGCAAACTACCATTCTTAGATATTCTGTTTGAGAGGAGACCTGACGGATCCTTGGGACATTCTTTCTACAAGAAAGTCACCCACACAGATGCCTGCTTGAAACCTGATTCCCACCACCACCCGTCTCAGAATAATTCTCTCATCAAAACACTATACCACAGAGCTCATGGCATTTCTGACCAACACCACCTGGCCAGTGAATTAAGACATGTACATCGTGCCCTCAGGATGAACGGAGACTCTGACCGCACCATCCGCCAGGCTGTTTCTCCCACCATACAGAAACAGCCACTTGAAACTCCGATCAAAACTATCACGTTGCCATACATAGCAGGCGTGACCAAAAAGATGTCTAAAATTCTAAACAAACATAAGATCCAAGTCCGATTCAGTACAGTACATAAAATCCGTGATCTAATTCCATCTGTGAAAGATGTCATTCCTGAATTACAATACCCTGGAGTCTACAAACTGAGTTGCAGCTGTGGTGATTGTTACAATGGAGAAACGAAACGTCATATCTCTGATCGTGTCCGCGAGCACAAGTCAGATCTGAAATACGGCTAAATTGAGTCATCCGTCATTGCCGATCATTGCTACAACGCTGTGGGCTCTCATGAGATTGTCTTTTCCGAGACCAAGGAGCTCTGCAAACCTCCTGGCTACCATCAAAGGTTTGTACACGAAGCCATCCAGATATACAAACACAGACATAACTTCAACCGTGATGATGGGTACAAACTGAGTAATCATTGGAAAGATGTCATTAACCATACAAAAAAAGATTTAACTACACATTTAAACCATCTTATTTAACAGGCACTATTCTTTAGTTAACGTACAGTTTACTGATAGACAGCCAGTTTGGTTTTGTATCATGTTTTACCTTATTTTTTACACGCTGGTTTCCTGCTTTAAGTTTTACCCACCCAGCAACATAGCAGGGGGTTGCTTTGTCCTGAAATGCTTTTCTGCTTCTGCCATCTACATAACAAAGGCACAGTCCCAGCAGCAGCAGCCGCAGTCTCTCCCGCGGCCCATCCTGGCTCCTCCCCCCTCAACCAGTATATATACAAGGTCGGGTCTCTTGGAATTTTCTTTACTTGATACAGCAATCGTGCTGTGACGGATCCACCTGAAGACGGAAGCTTGTATTGCCTCCGAAACGTCATGATTTAATTGATTTATTTTCATTTATTATTATTATTATTACTTTATTTCATTATTTTTTCCTACGTGACTTTACGGAAAAACCTAAGAGTACACATACAGCATGATCACTCGCAGCATCATCACAATCAACACAACCACTCACAGTTTCACCACTGACAGCATCATCACACAGCATCCCCACACACAGCCAGTGTCTCACTGCCCGTGCTCGATACTCAGTCCCATGTTGTCGTGTTGCGAGTGATAGTGGTCTTTTACCTGCACGTCTCCTCCAGGTGCCCCTATGGCAAAGAGAGAGAGAGAGGGAGAGGTGCATGACTGTGACTCTGCCTCGATTCCCATGGGATCAGCGGATTTCCCACTCCAACACCGCGGGTGGAATTTACACCACAAAGTCTTGGCTTATGACCTCATGAGCATCAACACTGACTTACATTGCAAACATCGTCGTGAATGGGGATGACGGCACGCAAGGACCGAGCAAAATTTCCGGCCGTGCGTGACAAAGCACAGTCGATGTGAAAACCTCATTCACGATCCTCAACTCTGACGCTGCCGAGGGCTCTGTGCAAATAGCGACACCAGAGACTCATCGCTCACCTGCAGGAAGGCGAGCGAGTCTCTCTCCTGCGCTAGGCCCTCCAGACGAGCGGCTGCTGCCTGGAGCTCGCCGATCTCGCGCTGGTAGTGAGCGATGTTCTTCTCGATCTGGGTCAGCAGCTCGCGCTGCTTCTTGGACGCACGAGCCAGAGCCGCCTTCTCGTCCTCGTCCAGAGCTGCTCTCATGCGGGCGAACTCGACTTTGATTCGCTGTCTCACCCTGGTCATCGATCCCTGCCAGGGCGTGTGATATGTTTTTATTAACTAATTCACGAAGGAGTTCATCTCGCAATGGTTGATCTATGTCTTATGGAGGTGGCGTTGACACCACTCTTTCCTGAATCATAAATGGAAAAACAACTGTGGCCACACAATGCAAACTATTGGCAATAAAGTAAACTTATAGAGACCCATAGATATACCTCGCGATCCATAGAGATACATAAAGACTCAGATATAGAGACCCGTAGAGAAACACAGAGACACATGAAGACAAATAGAGATGCATATAGGCTCAAATATTTGAGTCAATATAGGGCAGTGTGACTGTGGTCATACAACCCAAACTATGGATGTATACTAAACCCATGGCGACACTCAGAGATACACCGAGACCCATTGAGATGCATTAACGTCAATCCACACTCGTGCCACTGTGGGTATGCAACCCACACTATGGGAGACGTTTTGACCTGTAACCCCGGTGACCTGATGGAGGATGAACCCCTCCTGTGCATCACGGCCTCAGTAGCCAATTAACAATTCAATTGTCACCTATAACCCTGCAAATTACACAGGACTCAATCGCAAAAATTACATCACAATTCTGAGAAAAATAAGGAATTTAAATAATAATTAAATATGAACCCCACCTTTTCGGAGAGTTGCGCAAGGTGTGTGTAATGCGAGCAGAGTTACAAAGCAAAAGGTCATAATTAAAGCTTCCTGATCAGCAACGCCTCCAAGCTGTATTCCTACCACAAAACAAGCCCAGCTGGGACTAGACACGAGAGCTGGGTTTCGTGACTGGGCAGTGATAAGATCGGTGCACCGGTGAGAACTGGACATGCAATTTGGTAACCGTACCTCGAAGTGTCTCTGTGCTGTCGAATACGCCTTTTAAATTAAAATGAACTTTAATGCTCACATAGCCAATTTCAATATACTGAAGGGGAGTGTACTACGTGAATAGGTTACGTGAATATGCACATCGTATAAAGCACACTGCGTGCATTCAGTGTATTGTGCGGTTGTGGCTTTACAGATATTACTCATTACTGATGTTTGTCATCGCTGGGAGTTGATCTCAGGTGACTTGAGTTCATAGCACAATGCGATACATATTGTAAACATATATATATATAATGTGAACCCTGCCACCAATGTACTGGATAACAGGTATGTGCCACCTCATCTGGCCAGAATAGATATATAACAGAAGATGAAGTGGCAGTTGACATGGGGATATCAGGCTCCCATCCTAAGAATGTGGAATTTCCACGACTAATTCAGTTCCTCATTGCAGATGAGAACCACTTCTTTGCTTGTCCTGGGTATTGAGGCGCATTGACCGTTGTGTCTTTAGTCCCACGATGTGTTCAGAGCCAATGGAAGTCCACGTGAATGAATGGAGTTCTCCTCCATCACAAACCCTACTCAGGGTGGAGTTACGAGGGTCACAGAGTCCGTTCCAGATGCGGTACCTGCACGTCCCTGTGAGCGGCCTCCATCTGCTTTATGGACTCCTCCGCCTCCCTCCTCTTCTCCTCCACCGCCCGTGTCTCCTCTCCCACTTGTTTCTGTGAGAGACGTCACCAGGGAAGATTACACTCACTCTCTGACCGCCCCCTCTCACCCCCGCTCCACACGGACCCCTCCACAGTGACGGTTCCATCTCCAGGCTGCAGCGACCCCTGTGCAGCAATGGAGGCTGGGGGAGCGAGCACTGCAGGAAACCGATTTCACGAGGAGCTCACACGACTGCTGGAGCATTTTGTGTTTAGTTGTCATTCCCCCGCACCTCCGATAAGCACGGTTGGCTATGCTTGGTGCACTCTCTGTTCCAGCTACTTCCCTCCGGCAGAAGGCTGCGGTCCATCAGGACCAAAACCTCACGTCATAAAAACTGTTTCTTCCCATCCGCTGTTGGCCTCTTCAGCAAGGCCAAGGGTTTAAAATGACTTTTACACTTACTTTAACATTTTATCTACAAAATTACACCTTGCCATATTTACAACATGTTACCCTATTTGTATTCTAAGATTGTATATTACGGCTAGTTTACATTTTATATTGTATACTTATTAAAATTTTTACATACTTTAGCCCCTTAGTATTAGTTAGACTTTGTCATGTTAGTATAGTTAGACTGTATACCACTTATTTAAGTTTTAAGATTCCTACATGTTGAATGTATGCACCTTCCTGCCATAGTAAATTCCTTGTCTGTGCAAACTTTCATGGCGAATAAAACCCTTTCTGATTCTGATTATTGCTGGGCTCACATAGCACACGCAGGAGCCTAAGCCTGTGGACCCAATCACTCTCCACTGGTACCTGAGTCGTGGGCGGGGCTACATGAGCAGTGGGTGGGGCTCTGAGTAGTGAGTAGGGCTCTGAGTAATGGGTGGAAAAGGCGCCGCGAAATGTTAATCTGAGTTGCCACGTATACAGGAGGTCGTGGTTTCGATCCCGACCCTGACACCTGTATATTTGGAATTTGTTCTTCCCATGGTCGCATGGATTTTTGTCCAGGTCCTCCAGTTTTCCCTCTACATTTAGAAACGTGCATTTAGAGTATTTGGCTGCTATGAATTTCGACGTCATAAGCCACTTCTTGGAGCTGTCATTTGTGGCCAGGTTTGCCTCTGAAAAAGAGCTACATAGCACTGTGAGCTTCACCTGGTAAAATAAAAAAAATAGTTTTAGTTACGTTTTACATGGTACAAGGAGGGACTGCCATGTCTCAGTTGAGTGTTGGAGAAATTCGGTGAAGAGAATCTTGATGAAAATATAAATACGGTCACGAAATACTTGGTCTGTCAAGTCCAGTGACCCGGTAGCTGCTGTAGAGTGCGGCGCTAAACTGGGACAGACCGGCACGAGGCTTCCAAGCGGTGAGCACTGCGACTCACGCAGTCCCAGTCGTTTTACATTTCGTTTACATTTTGGGGAATGCTCCTCTATTCCACAAACCACTTTTTAGTATTCAAACCACGGTCTATGCACTCACGTCATTTTGAGAAAATATTGTATCCATTAAAGTCCTTCAGTTTTATAAAATATACTAAGAGCACATTTATAAATTTGTCAGATAACAGGATTGATAATAACATGTTTTCGTACTCTTAGGTTTTTTCGGTAAAGTCACGTAGGTAAAAAATTCACTAAAAATTAATAAAAGTAAAATAAAAATCACGACGTTTCGGAGGCAACACAAGCTTCCGTCTTCATGTGGAACCATCACAGCACGCTTGCAAGCGGCACAGCACGTTTGCAAGCGTCGTGATTTTAATTTTACTTTTATAAATTGTTATTTAATTTTTTACCTACGTGACTTTACCGAAAAAACCTAAGAGTATGAATCCTTGCAGTCACGAAAGCTTCAAATCTAGAAAGAACATGTTTTCTTATTATTCTGCACTATAACAACCTCAGCATACTTTATATTAAATCAAGGTTGTTAAAATTTGAAGAAACAATGGGAAGCTGAGAGAGGAATAATATAATATTTAGTTGGATATTATTGTTCAGTTAGTACTTGAAAATAATGACTTCACACAAGAGAGGTTCCAGCTCACACACGCAGACCGTCTCACCTCCCGTGTCTTGTGCTCATCCTCTAGCGTAGCCACATCGTGACCCTTGTGGTCTCCTGCAATGGTGCAGGTTGTGCAGACCAAGCTCTTGTCCTGTCGGCAGTAAAACTTGATCTTCTTTCTGTGTTTCTTGCATTTGCGTTCTTCAGGATTCGTACCTGGATCCACCAGAATGTGGCTACTTAACTTCGCGTTCTCCTGATGAGGCTTTACATGAGTCGCACAGTAGGATATATCACACTTGAGGCAGGTGTTGGAGGCAGCAGTCGTGCCATCGTTGCAAAAGTCACACAAGACCACGGTGGCCAATTCATCTGCGGCACTGCGCTGCTCCACCAGGTTGGCGAGCGTCACGCTCTTGTTTAGCTTGGGCCTCTGAGGGAAGGTCACTCGGCACTGCGGGCAGGAGAAGGACTCGGCCGCATCCCAGGCGCCCTCCACGCACTCGAGGCAGAACGAGTGGCCGCAGCTGAGCGTGCAGGGGCAGCGGAAGGCGTCCAGGCAGATGGTGCAGGTCAACTCCCCTGGGGCATCGATACTGCTGGAAGCTGCACTCGCCATGGCCCCGTGGCTTCACTCAGAGATGGACACTGGTTGGAGCTCAGGCAGTCTCTGGCTGTAGCTCAGGCAGTGGCTAGCTGTGTATGAGACGAAAACACAGGAACACGCCTTCTGAATGTGAGGGAGGGAAGTACAAACACTGCCGGTTTTATTTCCATATCACGTGATACGCCCTGGATTGTGCTGACAGACAAACCGGTAAGAGTCCTCTGCTCCAGGGGTGGCTGAATAAAGACTCCGGTGACGTCGCCTCGTCTCAAATCCTCATCCTCACACACCTCACCTCATCTCACCTCATCTGAACTCACCTCAATATCTCCTCAACTCACCTCAACTGAACTTGGAGGGGAACGCTGCTCGTAAACTCGTTGAGCCATCATTTGTGGCCAGGTCGCGTCTGAAAAAATATGTAATAGTTCAGTGGGGTCTTATCTCGTATGATACAACAAAATATTTTTAGTTTATTTTTATGTCTCTAACTGATTTGTCTACCTTTCCTACACTTTGCACTCCTGTCGTGTTTTTGTATTGCTTGTTTGTTGTTATAACGTTCTGACCTGCCCCGACTGGACATCTGTGAAAAAGAGCTTTATAGCTCATCGGATTCCACCAGTATGAATACTTGTTCTCATTCGGTTGCCTCTACCCTCTCTGCGCCACGATATTTTATATTTCAGCTTCACTTTTCTTGCTTATTTAAATCCTTAAACTACTTAATAAAACAATAAAAATTTGACTGAAAACTTTCGTGATTGAATGATTTCAAATTCTATGGTTCTTTCGGTGAAGTCACATAGTGACTTTAGTGACAATACCTAAAGAACCAAAGATTATGGATTCCTGCTGACACGAAAGCTTTAAATCAAGATTTATTCACTTTATTTTCATTATTTTATTGTTATAATTTTTTCTTTGATCTACGTGACTTTATTGAAAGAACCATAGACAATTAAACAATGTGTCGGGTGTCTAGTTCTCGAGCTGTGAGACGCCTGTGGAGTTGCTCGCCTTCAACTCAGTCATGTGGCTGCGGCTCACTGCTCTGTGTCGTGCAGAGACAAAGCTCCCCTGTGTTGGAGGTGCGGGTGTAGACAGGCTAGTGGAGAGGCGAGCGTAATCTTTAGTCTGAGTGTGATAGGCTAGTGGGGTGAGAAGCTAGTGGAGATACAGCGCGAGCGAGAGTCCATGACAGCTTAGAAAAGTGGGGAGTAACAGGCTAGCGGAGCGAGAGAGAATAAGCTCGAAGTAGCAGGCTAGCCGAGGAAGAGAGGAAGAAATTGCGACAGGAGTACGTGGTGTTGAACGTGAGGAGCATCCGTGTGGGATGCTGCAAATAAAGTGACACAGGAGAAAGAGACGAAGTTGTCCGTGTGAATAAACACCACACTACATATGTGTAGTGCTTGAGATACGCGTCACGCGCTGGGTCGGTGTGTGCGCACACGGCGGACAGTGAGGGCAAGTGAGGACACAGGGCGCTGATTGGCTGGTCGTTGTTGTTGTCCAAATTAAGGTGGCGTGATGGTTAAGGGTGCTAGCAGGTGGCAGGGGATAATTAAGGGTGCAGTGCGCTGATTGGGCGAGAGGGGTTGTTGTCGGAGAGAGGCGCCGGTGTGTCTGGAAAAGCAACGCCACGTGGCAGCGGGGGCTGGGGGCGAGTGGCGTCGCCTGATTAATTAGGAGTTAATTGGTTTAGGGATAAAGTGAGGGGTTGTAGAGTGAGACAGGAGTTCGTGCCTGGGAGGAGAGACAGATTGAGAGACGAAGCAGCAGAGTGAGTATAGCATAGGGTAGCAGTGGAGAAGTATAGGGTAGCAGTGGAGAAGTAGGGTAGCAGTGGAGAAGTGTAGGGTAGCAGTGGAGTAGCGTAGAGCAACATAGAGACGACGGAGAATAGGAAGCGGCTAGAGCGTGGCAGGAGAACCAGTGTAGTTACGACGGAGTAGGACGGCGGAGCTGATACAGAGCAGCCGAGTTGGAGAGAGAGAGCGGAGAGGAGAGTCGACTGAGGAGTAGAGGGGAGCGAGCAAGGCCAACGGAACGCGGCGAGCGAGTGGGGAGAAGAGTTGTGGGTCGGTGTCAGCGGAGGAACATTGAGCGGTGTTGATGAAGAGTTGTGAGTCGGTGTGAGCGGAGGAACATTCAGCGGCGTTAACGGGAGAGATGTGGAACAATGTACGCGGAATAAAGTAATGAGGAAAGACAAGAAGCTGTCGTGTCGGTTTGAGAACTACAACTGGTGTCAGAGGTGATTAAAGAACCGTGCCGACATGTCAAAGAAAGTTACGAAGAGGAAGAACGTACCGGTGGGCTCGTCGGCCGACAGCAGCGATGCAGACGTGATACCCCCATCGGGGCTGGAAGCTCCCGCTCCCCCGACGGACCTGGCTGATGGGGCGCCTCCGCAGGAGGAGGGCGACCCGGACGACGATGACGAACCAAGCCCGCCTCACGTATGGAAAGCTGCGATGGCTGAGTGGGAGGCCAGGATGGCGGCGCTTGCGAAGGAGTTAGAACAATTCATGCTAACGATACGGGAGGCGCCGACGGGATTGGATCAGCCTCCGCATGAGCTCGCCACACCTGCGGAGGCCGGCGGCAATGCTGTGTCTCTCGATATGCCTGAAGCGGAGCTGGACGTCGATGAGGCACCAGGGTTGCCGACTCAGAGCTCATGACGCCGGCTGCATGTGGAACGTTTCGATGTGAAAGTTGGCGACTGGACGGCATTTACACGACGGTTTCGAGCGACGTACGAGTCGCTTGGGTGACGCTTTACGGGCCCTGCCAACGGCCCTGGACGACGATGCGCTGGCGGCGTTCTACGGCTTCTCTGTGCAAGTTCGCTCGTCATTGACGAAGACAGTCGCGGCAATGCAGGACATTTACGAGCCACAATCGGTCGCCAAGCGCAAGTTTCAGTTGAGACGGCGGGTGGAGACGGAATCTCCCCTCGCGTACCGCAGTGCGCTGTTGACCCATGGCCAAGCGGCTTACCCGGCAATGGACCATGCCGCCCTTGACTCCTTGGCCCAGGAGAAACTGTTGCTGATGGCGAAGGAGCTACGGGTTGTCCTTTCACTTCCCAGCAACAGCGACGACGACGGGTCGTCTTTGCAGATCGCCAGGAACATCCAAACCAACCTGGATCTTCACGACGAACCAGCGGCGGTGACGGCACAGCCTTCGGTATGCGCCGGCGCAGCCGGGGGCCCGTCGGAGTTGGAGGAGCCGGGGTCGCTGGTGGCAGCGGCCACACGGCCGTTCGCGAGCCTGCCTCGCTGCCCCGGGACGTACGGACGTGGCGCCCCGCTGACATGCTACGAGTGCGGGCGTCGAGGACACTTCGCACGGGACTGCTGGAGACGGAAAGGCGTCTTGCCGAGGACGTCGGGAGACTATAACCACGGATTCTCCCCATTCCAGGACGAACAGGCGAGTCGTGACACATTTAATACATGGCCGTCTCCTTCACCTCACCCATCCGCGACACCACACACTGTAAATCACCCTTCGTATGATTCACACGGAAATGCTGTATGGGGTGCGTTGGCTCATCGTGTTTTGGGAGCTGCGCCGGGTTCGTCGGATGTAATGGCGCTTGTTCAAGGGGTACAGGTTAGAGTTATTGTCGATACAGGGGCTTCTGCGACCCTCATTTCCTTGCAAACTTTTCGGCTATTGCCAACCTCACCCCAGGCTTTGGAACCAGTGGATGGCCCGTGGATAGCGGCAAATGGGGGCAGTTTGGGAATTTTGGGTCGCGTGCTTGCAACGATTCAAGTTGGGGAGGTGTGTGTAACATGATACATTTTGGTTTCAACTGTTCTGACCGTGCCATGTTTGTTGGGCACAGATTTTTTGCAAAAGATGCCCATTAAGATCTCAATTAAGAGGGGATGTTTGGAATTGCCATCGGGGAAGTGCCTTAAATTTCTGGGAACTCCATCTAAATTTGCTCATGTTAACGCCGTGGTGCAGGCGGTGGTTAGTCGCACAGTGCACAATCCGCCTGCGATGTAGATGCTTGTGCCGTTACGCTTGAAAAAGGGCCTGCCATTGGATAACCTGGGGGAAGGTATTTTGTTGACGCCGTCGAACGCCGTGGCACGAACGTCCTCCTTGGTCGGAGCTTTTACGATGGTGCCGGCAAATTGCGAACCATTAATTCAGATTGTTTATACGGGGCACAAGTCGGTTGTTATTCAGGAAAGGACTACGTTAGCGCACGCATCGGCGCCGCGGAACTCAGATGGGGATGCGTGCTTGGCAGCAGGGGAAGGAAGTGCGCTGCCACGGGATGATGAGGAACCGGGCTGGTTCCCGGGTTTGTACGAATGTAATGATGATTTGACACCCGAGCAGTGGTCGCGTTTTCGGAGTCTGGTTTTGGAGTTTAAGGACGTTTTTAGCTCGAGGAAATATGATGTCGGTCGCACGTCCCTATTGAGGCATCACATTGATACTAGAGATGCACCTCCGATTCGCTTAAATTCTCACCGTGTGAGCCCGCTGGAGAAGGATTGTATTCGGAAAACGGTGGGGGGCTCCAATTGTATTGATTAAGAAACAAGATGGTTCCCTGCGATTTTGTGTCGATTATCGTAAACTAAATAAGATTTTGGTGGCGGATGCATACCCGCTCCCGCGCATTGATGACTCGTTGGACGCCTTGTCCGGTGCAAATTTTTTTTCCACTCTTGACCTCTTATCGGGCTTTTGGCAATTGCCCATGGACGAGGAATCTAAACCGAAGACAGCATTTCGATCGCCGCAGGGGTTGTTCCATTTTAAAGTGCTTCCGATGGGGCTGCACTCCGCGCCAGCCACCTTTCAATGATTAATGGAACGCGTATTGTCCGGATTGCAGTAGGAGTCATGTTTGATATACCTTGACGACGTCATTGTGTTCAGTAAGGATTTTGACGGGCATTTGCAACGACTGCGAGCTGTGTTTGGCCAGGTACGGGACGCCAATTTGAAATTTAAACCCCAAAAATGACATTTGTTGAGAACGTCTGTCAAATATTTGGGTCATGTTGTCAGCGAGGCGGGAGTCGCCACTGACCCGGAGAAAACGAGTTGTGTACGCACGTGGCCAGTGCCGAAAACAGTGTCGGAGGTGCGTAGCTTCGTGGGATTTGCGTCGTACTATCGTCGATTTGTCAAGGATTTTGCCACGATTGCGAGGCCACTGCATACACTGACCGCTAAAGGTAAAAAGTTCCTATGGGCTGACGAGGAACAGCGTTCGTTTGAAACGCTTCAGGACACTTTAGCAGACGCACCGCCGCTCGGATATCCAAATTTTGGAGAGATGTTATTTCTGGATACTGATGCCAGTGATACGGGCATCGAGGGGGTAGAAAAAGTCGTTGCATACGGCAGCCGTGTGCT